GGCTACTGTATTCTTGTACTGGTTCAAGGCGTGCACTTGTGGTTCTACAGCTCGGTTGAACATTTTGGCTGCATGATTTGGACGATTCTTTCGCATCTCTTCATTGACAATCTTCAGTATTTCTATGTCCATGTTTCCGTCTCCACTACCAATACTCAAAATGTTGACTCCACCTTTAGGGTTTGTCTCATCAAGGATGCTTTCSAACGCCGATGGAATACTGGAGCGGAGTGAGTTAATAATCTCGCGAACTTCTCCTGATCTCTGACGAAAAAAATCGAAACACTTCATGAAATGTTCTTCAGTTCCTTTCCACTGCAAAATCTCTGTAGAACACATTCTGAAAAGCACTGTCTTTTGCTGAGTCGTGTCGTTATTGATTTCTAAGGGCACAAGCTTGCACATTTATAGCAAAATGTTTTGGTAAACATGACACTGAAATGTTCCCTGATGCGCGTGCAAGCTCGTGCTACGCGTGCAAGTGTAAATCACTGCATAAGCTCTGYACATTTTACGTAACTGATTATGTAAGCAAGAGTTGTGAGTCGACGAACTCCCCCTGATTACATGAAAACAACATGAGTGTCAGCATTAAAGTGAGTTGACAATCTCATGAACTTTTCCTGACTTCTGACAAAATATGTCCAGACATTYYACGGAATACTCTTCAATTCCTTTCCATTGCAAAATCTCAGAGCCCATTCTGCATTCAAACCGCGTTCTTCTGCTTCGTTGTGCCGCCAATAACCTCCGTGCTGAACGTGCAATCTCGTGCTGCACGTGCAAGCTGGCRAGAATCTTGTCAGCAGTTATGTAACTGACTATACAAGCAGGGTAGGTGAGTTGTTGTGCATTACTTGTCAGGTATTCGAGGAATTACCACCACAAACAACTTGAAAACAATATGAGGGTCAGCATGAAAGCACAATAAACAATCTTAATAAACCTCTCCTGATTTCTATAGAATAATTTATCATTTTCAGTTTATTCCCATTACAGAGAGAGAACCCATTCTTAGTCATGCCATGCACATTTATTGCAATATATCGAGGTAAATACAGATGAAATGGCGTGATGTACGCCGCAGATGGTATCATTTGAAACTTTGGAATCCAACTGCATGACGTAAAACGACCAGGAGATATCGCCGGGTCGTSGCATAGGCATTCAAAAAGACATTTTGCCAATTGCCATTTTGCCAAAAAAGTGACATTTTGCCACTTRAGTTCAGGGATAGAATAAACTGAATTTTCGAATTGAGAATGTGTACATTTCTAGTTGATTTTAGTTTTTTATGAAAAAAAGAATATAATGGGTTGTAGTGAGCTCATGTCATGAGAAGAATGGGCCACAGAAAAATGAATAAAGTTCCCTAACAGTTCTCAATCGATTGCGTTCATTAGACCTAGTCTTCTAATACCAGTCGGCTGGTTGCTTGCCCTTCTTCGACAAATAATTTACTATTAGGAGTTGATTGCTGATTTTTCATGCATAAATATTTTCRAAATTTAGTAAAAAAGAACAATTCGATATAATACTCCAATTTCGAGTTCTGGTTTGCTCTGTGTTAGCCTCAGAACGAAGTAACATATTCTTTTGTTTTATTGAGAGCCCGAGAAAACACATGGAATTTGAAAAGAAAGACAGTAGAATTGATTTGAAATCTCACACTTTTATTCTCACAATAAGGAATAKTTTGCGCACAAATGAGGCTAACACAGAGCATTGGAGAATTCGAAACTGGATTATAAGAGTTGTACGTTTAATTGCACACTCCAATTCATTAGCTCAGTGATTTCGCAAAAGAGTAAAACAAATTTGAATGTAAAAGTGCAGTTTTGGTTTGCAAACATAGCGAGGATTGACACGTAGACATAGACACGATGGCAGATCTTTGCAGATCTGTTAAGACATATTAGGTAATGCAATACAATTACTGTGCCACATCAACTATATCAACCGGTAATACATGTAGCAATATTCAAAGCTGAGAAACAAAGTAATCGTTGTGAATAAGTCGAAATTTCGGTTCATTTCATACTTATAAAAACTTTAAAATATCTACAAATATGCTCTCTGAATTTTGCCATTATTGCTAGTCAGGGAGTACAGTAGCATAAGCCTCGCTTTCGTGTCATGGAAAGACGCGGTGGTTAACTCCTTTAGATGCTTGCCGTAAGACCAAAGTGCAAAGTGCAAGAAATGTTCTTGAAGTATGACTTTCGAATATATAGGAGTGCCATGTTTCGGTGGCCTTATGCCATCTAGTTCAGAAGAATGAATATAAAGTTCCGAATATTTGAAAAATGTAATCGTTGTATATRAAAAATGTCTAAAGCATCTATAAAAATATCGCAGGATAAAAAGTTCCTTGCAAGCAAACATATTTTAGCAAAAATCCTCACAACAGCTACACTGTATGTAGCTTAGTATRCAATCAAGAGTTGAACCGTATATATTTTTGTCAGGTATTCGAGGAATTCCCCCGACAAAGTTACTTGAAAACAATACTTAGGAGTGTCAGCGTGGGAGCGGTATGAAGTGAGTCTATAATATCAAATGAACTTCTCTTGACTTTTGAAGATATTATTAAAAATATTATTATATTAAATATTATATTAATTATATTAAGTAATATTATTTTGAAAATATTAAAACTTCAAATTGAAYGCCCTTTCCATTGCAAAATCTCAGGAGAAACTCATTTTGATTGAGCTAGGCTCTTTTGCTTATTCGTGCCGTTAGTCATATCCAAGAGCCAAGGGTCACGAGCTTGCACGTTTAGRGCGGATTTCATATGGCTGTGGGGCAACGGCCCGGACACGGCACGGACCTGGCACGCTACGGTCACGAGACCTCGCCTTCTAGTGATTTCAATTAAATGAAAATAAATATTTAGCAATACATCACCGCCACGACACGGTACGTCCACGACGCGAAGTTGCAGTGCTTTTTTTCACAGTTGTCATACGAAATACGCTCTATTGCAACATGAAATCGAAAATCTGAAACTAAAAAGTTCCCTCATGAAAGCTCGTCACTTGACACTTGGTAATCAACTCCACGACTTAACRAAACAACGGTGAGGGCTTTCGTCGAGCGTCAAGGTTCTAGGGTTCTTTGWCGGGGGTCGAGGATAAAAAGTTGAGGGTCGAGAGTAAAAAGGCGAGAGTATTATTCAACAATTAATATTACATTAAAATGATATTAACTGAAGAACAAATAATGCCAGTCATTCTTCACGGAACTGGCCGTTTTTTTAATGAAATGCCATAAAAAATTTGTCTATTACAAACTACTACTTAACTATTAGACTTATAGTGTTTTCATGGTTGACGGAAAACCACTCTCACCCGTACTGTTTATCCTTATTTAAATCACGTGATTTTTCTAATATAAATCTRTCAACACATAAGACAGAAATATTTGGTTCTAGGCAATTCATTCCACATAAGCCGAGGTAGACTATTTCCAYTCCACTTCATTACGTGTAACAAGAGAATCAAATAAATTTGTACAAAAGCGATTGATTTTAAACAGAATACAATAACAGATCTGCTCACACCTCTCATCTCATGCATACTTGGTGACCAGAACTGCAAACATTAACACATGTATCTAGAGAAAGAACAACAACAATCAAGAAGCACACACACACACAAAGACTTCATACCGGTATAAAACAAAGAAAGCATGAATACTCCGACTTAGAGTTCTGGTTTGCTCTGTGTTAGCCTCAAAACCAAGCAACATATTCTTTTGTTTCATTGATACCTCGAGAAAACGCATGATGGAATTTGAAAAGAGAGACAATAGAATTGATTTAAAATCTCACACTTTTATTCTCACAATTAGGAATMTTTTGGCTTTTGCGCACAAATGAGGCTAACACAGAGCATTGGAGAATTCGAAACTGGATTGTTGTGAACGCAAATACGACATTCAAATGCATAGATAAAACTTTTATTTTTGACTCGGAGTAATTAATACAAATTTAAAACTTGGTCAAAAAAAAGATTAATATAATATAATGCATATAACCTCTTGGTTATCGATGGACAGGTAATACAATACTACAATGAAAATGTTTGGAACAACTAAATGACCAAGTAGTTAAAATGCTGAACCCTGATCCTAATACAATATTTCTGATCCCTGATCCCGTATCATATAACACAACCCTGAAAATGTTTTACAAGAAAAGCGTGCATTAGCTAAAAGTCGGACGTCAATAAAATAATATTGATCCCTGATATCGCATATTATATAACAACCCTGAAAATATTTTACAAGAAATGCGTGCATTAGCTTAAATTCGGACATCAATAAAATAATATTGATCCCTGATATCGCATATTATATAACAACCCTGAAAATATCTTACAAGAAATGCGTGCATTAGCTTAAATTCGGACATCAATAAAATAATATTGATCCCTGATATCGCATATTATATAACAACCCTGAAAATATCTTACAAAAATGTGTGATTATAAAAAATATCTAAACTATATATCTAAACTTACACAATTGATTATGCATTACTTGAAAATAATGTGAGTATCGGCACACATCTTTGCCAAAAGCCTTCCATTTTGAAACACAGAAAGTTCCTTGATGCATTGCAAGGCTATGTTGACGTTGTCAGGGTGACCATTGAAGCGAAAATTCTGCGTATGAGCAATGAAGTCGAGCAGCATGTTTCCKTCGATTGATTCTTCGTCGAATACATCTGTTACATCAATGGATGTTTCTTGGCGGTAGACCTCGTGACACCATCCATTTTTTCGTGCAGCGTCGACGATCTCGTTACCCACATGGCTAATACCGCACATGCGCTGTTTTAAAACTTCAAAGGTGTCATCTTTTCCGATCAATATCAAGACTATGGCACCTCGATTACCCAATTCTTTCTCGTAACAGTGTTTCAGAGCTTTCTCTACGTCTGTGATATGATAAATGGAGTGAATAAAATGAATGATATCAAACTCCACAGTCTCTTTGATATTCGCCACGTACTCCTCAAATGTTCTAGGCCGGTCGATATCAAACATTATTGACGCATTGCTTAATTCCTTTGGTAGRCGTGTGGCTACTGTATTCTTGTACTGGTTCAAGGCGTGCACATTTGGYTCTACAGCTTGGTTGAATATTTTGAGTGCATGACTTGGACGATTCYTTCGCATTTCTTCATTGACAATCTTCAGTATTTCTATRTCCATGTCTCCGTCTCCACTACCAATACTCAAAATGTTGACTCCACCTTTAGGGTTTGTCTCATCAAGGATGCTTTCSAACGCCGATGGAATACTGGAGCGGAGTGAGTTAATAATCTCGCGAACCTCTCCTGATCTCTGACGAAATAATTCGAAACACTTTATGAAATGTTCTTCAGTTCCTTTCCATTGGAAAACCTCGGGAGAACCCATTCTGAAAAGCACTTTCTATTTTTCTTTTACTGCGTYCTGTGTCGTTCTTGATTACCAAGTGGCAATTGTCACAAGCTTGCACGCTTATGGCAATTTATAGCGGTGAAGATGAAGCAAAMATTTTTCCTGATCCACGTGAAGCTCGTGATACACGTGCAAGTTTGATKAACTTATAATGAGTTACGTAACCCACCATGGAAGTAATGGTAAGAAAATKTATAAAAATCCCGCTCTTTGGCTACGTGGTGCCGCAAGTGAATATCCAGTAGCAAAACAATGAGCTTGCACGCTTATCGCAATATATATACTACAATATTTTTGAAGCTAAAATGTCCAGTGCTGCACATGCAGTCTCGTGCCACCATCCAGTAGTTACGCAAACTATTATGCAACAACAACAACTACAACAAAAACAACAACATTTCATTCATACCAAGTGTTAGAGTAAATTTAGTACAATAATAATAGATAAACTCGAAAGAAAGAAATCTTAGGCATTAAACTACCAATTAATTGGGATTTCTATTTGGTTAGCCCTTCAATCTAACCTCGTATTCAATTAAGCCAGCACTCTTCTCGTGAGTTTCCAAGTGAAACGAGCTTGTAAGCAAAGCACGCAACGTTTATTAGCTAGTTTCTGTTATCGTGATACTGGTGGTTTTCAGAATAGGTTATCCTGAGCGTTTCCAATGGAAACAAACTGCAGAACACTTCTRGACGACTCATGATATATTTTTTTCAAACATCAGTCTAAGTTAACCGAGAGATCTAATGTCTACATTTGCATTCGGCGACAATTATTCGAGCGATAATGAGAATGAATCATACGCTATCCACGCAAYGTTTGAAAATCAATAATTTATAATATTTATGTACAAATATATTCCCTTATTGTCGCAGAACTAATGATTGGATTGTACAAAATGTCTATTTCGGACTACATAACATGGGTATTTTTTTTGTCTACCGTTTTATACATTTATGCATGAAAGCCGCCGCCACCTCTCRTTAAATCGCGTGATCTGATGKGCAAACAACAGGGGTATTAAAAGAGGTCTACGGGTTCACGCAATCGAAAGAAGAAACCTTTTGAGAACTTGATTCTTATTTAACTGTGTTATTTTTCTTATTACCTGTTCCTATTACGTAATGTCTTCTCAAAACTCTCATTCTTCCCTTCAATCTAAACTCAAAACTTAAAATGTACACTTTCTTACTTCGAAAGGTCACCTACCTTATTCGTACTAATTTTCGATTTTTTTTT